GTGATTTCGGATTTTTAATTTTATGTTTCTTCAGTTTTGAGCTACTTCTACGAGTTCTTTTTTTTTTCAGGATAAAACGGAAATGTTAGCTCGTTTGACGCTGCTGAAAGATGAGGTGCAGAAGCCGGTGCCGATGTTCGAGCTCGAAATGCATTGGACTAGTATCGTTCGAAATAACGTATGCCAATAAGCCTTTTGAGATGATTACAATTCTTTTCCTGCTTTCCACTGTTAATGTTTAATGAGGGGTAAACTACAGCTCAGCAGAAAAACAAAAACCTCATTTTCAGACGTCCCATAAAAATGCATTTTATCGCTTCCACATGTATTTTCATCAGCAAATTGGCTATTTTTTTGAAAAACAAAAAAAAAAAGAATCTGCACAATCGCCCTCGTTATTTTCGGGAACGATGTCGGTTTTGCATGACGCCACGAGACGAGCACAGAGAGGGTTAAGGAATCGCTGGCGTACAATGTTTCTCAACACCACATTCTAAAAAATGACCTTCAAGCGCTTTATCATTTTAAATTATGACAGTATAGTTAGCACATTATAGTTAACAGTCGTAAACACAGTGCAGTTAACAATCATATTATACTCATTTACTACAGAATTAGCTACATATCCCTTACCAAAGTTTTTAACTATAAACAAAAACACTGGCCAAAGTGTCGCTTGGAAAACTTGCAAGACTGTTCTTTTATTAAAATTTTCTAAAAATGAGTTACTTCTTCGAAAAACTTCGTTTTGGCAAGATCTCCCAAAATTCTTCGGGTTTCAAACTACTGTGAATCGATAGCCAAGAAATTCGTTAGATATCAAAATTGCTGCTCAGTGAAATAACAGTCAGAAAATCTGTGAACTCTTCTATCTTTTTAGTGTACAAAGAACCATGACGACAGCTTCAGTAGGCCAGAAAAAGCAGCGTATTCATAAATCAAATACTGACTTAAGAAATATATACGACTTAACGGACCGAAATATTTCTCACTGTTACGATAATTTTATTAAGATATTTTACAACTTCTGTTAATTTCTTAATACTATTTACTTTTGTCTTCTTTCAACTTTAAAATATTTTCGTATTATCGTTTCTGATGAGAACTTTGGAAGATGGAAATTATAGAGGGAAAAGGGAAAATGATTGCTTTCAACATTAGTTATACACCTTCCTTAACTTTCCTGTGAAGGCATGCACTCAGACTGTGCTTTTGTTTCAAAAAAAAAATTTTTTTCTGAAGAATTAAGAACGAGTTTGTTTCAGGATGCACTAAGCAGGCGTGCTCACGAGCAGCAGGAGGCCATCTGGGAATTCGTCACCACCGAGCATCGATATCTGCAGGCACGAATTTGTCCTTTTTTTTCTGTTCTCAAACATTTTGAAAACAGATTTTTGCAGGTTAATTACAGAGCAAATTTTTTTCAACACAAATGGCTTTGTGGGCGCAGCCCCCTGGTAATACAGTGAAGTTCGGTGGAATTTGATTACTCCTGTGCCAAAAAACCATTTTTGTTTATTACTGTTCTGTTTTCGTGCAATATCTATATAACCAACATCTAGAATAGCCATTTCTAGGGCACTGAAAATTTTGGCCTCTTTTATTGTTTATATTTATTTTTTCTCCAAATGTATGCACAGACTATTGGTTGATCCGATAAAAATATAGGGCAAACCGGGACGGCAATAAATGAAATTGTTTGGATTTTTCCATTTCATGATTTTGAATTGAGTCGGTGGGGGAAGTGAGAGCGAGTGGCGGAAGCCGAGGAGCAAGAAGGAAGTGGGAGTTGTAAATAATTGTAATGGAGTTTGAGATATGGAATCGAGTGGGGGAAGGATTGCGAAAAGCCTAGATTTGAGGGGAAGGAGTGGGAGAGGGAAGGGAAGGAGGAAACGAAAAAAATTAGTTTACTTGTGAAAAAACTTTTTAGTAAAAAGCAGTTTTATACTTCATAAATTTGCTTAGTTGGTTTCAGCTTCAGAAAACCATTTTTCCCCAGAAAACTCTTCATATTTACTAGCATTCGATATTTCTTCACTCGTGTGTGTGCATTCTTCCATACTTATCAATCGCTGGACTCATTTACTTAGAGGGAGTGTTTCTTAGGTTGTGAACAAAAGAAATTTTTGACCTCATTTCAAAACATTTTGGAACGATCTTGGTTGTTGGCCTTTTAGTATGTCAGGTAACTAATCAGCCTTCAGTTTACTCTCAACTCAATAGCGGGGACGATCGAGACCCTTGCGCTTGTCTTCATCGAAGTGCTGCCACTCCGAAGTACAGTGAGGGACACATAGTTTATGTGATTTTGCTTTGCATTTAGCAGCACTTAAGTTTCGATTTCCACTATATTTCAGTTGCTGAAGCAAATGAATGAACTGTACCAGTGTCTCTTGAAAATGCAAGAAGCAGGATATATGCGTGATGTTGACCCACGGCGTGTGTTCCTCAACTACCCCGAGCTTTATGTTCACAATTCCAAATTCTGGAAAAAAGCAGT